TTAGGGATACTGTTCCCAGATGCATTCCAGTTTTAATGCTGAATTGTAGGTAATGAAGCACAGAAGATTTAGGAAGATCAAGAGGGTTTGGCACTGCAAGGTGAGATTACATGTTAGAGTTAGCAAGTGCCCTCCATACTACTTGGATTGCTCCCTCCATGCCCCCAAATCCTTCACTGCCCCTGGTTCATCCTCCCACCCTCTCACTGGCCCTTTCACCCATGGATCACTGCTCTGTTACCCCAGTCAGCCCAAGAGCACTTTTGGTGGCAGCAGCCAAGAGGGCTTCCCCTCCTTGCCTGCTTCTGGGCTCCCTGTAGTCTGGGCTATCTCCAAACACCTATGTCCAGCCTCCACCAGGCCTCATATCTGCCTTGTAGCTCCTTGCCCTCCCTACCCTCTCCCCTTTAGTTGCAGAGCCTGGTAGGGGCTGAATTTGGGAATACAGGGGCACTGTGCTTTGCAGAAACCTCAGAAGCATGCAGGGAGAGGGAAACATCCCACCAGCACCACTCTTGGGCTGATCAGGACAGGGGTGGAGAAGGGAATTGGATGGCATGGGAGCTATCTGGGGGTAGAAGGGGTAAATTCAAAGGCAGGGGGGCAATCTTGGGGGCCAGAGGAAGTAACGTCTCAGCAGCTCCCATTTCCCGCTATCTCCCAATTCCAACTCATTTCCCTCCACCTTCCTCTTCCCCACTCCAATCCTGCCCCGTTCACTTCTTCCCCCAGAATCCCTTACCTGCTTCACCCCTTTTTCCCTCCCTTCCCTACTCCCTTTACCCTTACCTACCCCATCCCCCACCCATTGCCTGACTCTTCCCAGCTGTCAGGGCCATAGAGTCCTGGATGATAGTTAGATAGACTCCTGGGACCCTGGAGGGCTTTCAAATTGGTGTTTTTTTCCTTAAGAGAACACCCAGAAGTTAAATTTACTCAATCTAGGTAGCACAGTTCATAGATAATCCTCACACAAAGTGGCTTGACTTTAAAATGCCTAAAAATGGCAATTAGCATTTGTTAATGAGCCTCAGTGTGTGATCATTGTGGCGGGTGCAGAGATCCCACCTT